CGCTACTTGCATATTAATAAGCGGCTTTTCAAAAGACGGGTACACGTCTATTTGGGAGTGTTTTATCAAATTAGAATTTAATTGACATCACTGACATTCCCATCATCAACCTTTTTGCATAAGACTTTAAAAAAATGTAGGATATAATAACGCTAGTTTTTACGCGGCGCCCCAGGGAGCCCACAGTATGTTATATTTTGGCTTTGTTACGTGAACAATTACCATCAAACTTACTTTCATTAATGTAATGTAAGTGGTTTCGTGTACGCGAACTTTATTAATAAACAAAAGAAATAGTAGGCCATGTAGGCATTTGAGTTCGTATTTCGAGTGCCATCCATTCGTGTAAAGCAAGCGCGCGCTTTCTTACGGTATATTGTTTCCATGATCGTTGTCACCAGATGCTGGYCATCGATCACTTCCAAACAAGAGACAATAAAAACGTCTATTCAAGCATTCATCGCAACTCTAAGTCTTAATTTGAAAAAATGATCGATCATCTCGGAATCAAAACCTAACTGACTTAGACTGAAAATAGATCACCYCTCTCCAAAACTCATTCTCCCAGGCGATAGAATAAATAAATCACTATGATAAACAATGTTGTGTTTTTCCTTCTAGAAGTCTCTGCGCCAGGTCGCATAAAATATCTAGCGYACAATACTCYTGTGAAAAWCTGGCAACAGTCATCTTTTCAATGCTTATAARCAGGGAGTTATCTTCAAACGGATAAGGCGTTTTTTMGCACTTTTTGGCGTTGATTTTGAGAGACTGGTTTCAGTGGACTTTTGTTATGGTACTAACAGGTGTCTGCATGGCTTGCATGGCGTCCACTTCACGTAAAGGAAAAAAAWTCTTGACAGTTAAATGTTATCAAGAGCAAGAGGTATTTCTAAAAAGAATAGGTTGCTCTTAACACCAACTTCTACTACCTGACATTAAAGGATAGAAGCATTGTACTTACTTTGCCAAAAGATTCCTTTAGTTCATCGGGATTATCTTCACTATGATAGTTCRACAGCGATGATGGTTTCAGTTCGATACATTCTTCTGGTTGAGTAGTTTCTCTGTGTTGAAATATCTCCTCTGTCATTCCGCTGATTGCTCCGTATTCTTGCCAAGCCAACAACAAAGTTGTTGTACTGAAGTCTTACAAGGAGATGTCTCTTATTGAACGGTAGTCAAAAAACATAACCAGTCGAGTCTACCAAAGGCAACGTGCTTGATGTGTATATCATCAATATTCAATGAACTAACAACTWGTTATTAACGTGTTTAGACCACAGACAGCGAATGTATGTGAGCCACCAGCTCAATGAAATAACAATGACATTTTGAAAATGTGCTAATTCGCCAATAAGTCAATCAATTAGGAACCTACAAACTAAAAACAAAGAATAAAATTTTATCAAAGGTTACCGAGTCCGTTCGTGGTCCGACTACAAAGAAAAAATGAAAAACACCACAAAAACACACAAATACTAATACTTTTAATTAAACTAATAATGACACATTTTTTATGTACGTTTAAACCCGTACGAAATCCGTAGTAACATATATAATAAAAGCAATTGACTTTTTTGGTTAATTTAAGCGAAAATTTAAGAATATTTGAGTTCGTTGACCACTGTTTTTAGCAATGAAAGGAATTAGTGTGATAAACTACTTGTTTCAACAAAAACATGGGGATTTTGTTTTATTAACATAGACACCCTACAGTGAAAAAAATATCAAGCCTCGGAAGCAAAATATAATAGTGTCATTTACATTGTCACAAAAAAAAAACATTACGTTTACAGCTATAACGTTCACTTTCTATGTAACTAACATTAAAGCTGTCGTGCTTGAGAAAAGGACCCAATCATCTTCGGAACTGAGTACGATTTTTTGCGTACGCAAAATGTTTCCCATTTCAATTTAAAATGGGATTGAGAAAAACATATTCTATGACAAATACGACAATGTTATACTTTATTTTTTAAATAAATAGTTTCAAATACATATAATATGACTTTATTTTTTCCGGAAACTCTGCTTCTTTCGCACATAATTAAAACTATGCGTGATAACACAACAAATACGTGCGTCTAACCTACTCAAACTCGTTGACCAAGAAAGCCGAAAMGACACCACCGAGGGCACTTTGGCATCGATTAAAAATGTTTATTACAGTCAATGTACGACTGTAAACCGCCGACATCGAATCGACCAGAAATTTCAAACGCGAACACAGGAACTCTGAAAAAAGAGAATGACAAGAATTAGGAAAAATGATAAACGAATAAACGGGTGGATGAATAGAAGAATTTATGAATTTCACTCTCAGTTTGACGTCCGAAGAAGTGAATGCCGTCATGAATTCATGAACAGTGTAAAAATTCAATAGCCGTGTTGTATAGAAAATTATCCTTCCATTTATGACGTCATGCAGTGGTTGGTGGGATGCACTGAGGGAATGACGAAAGTAAAAACTGAAATCATGTTGTGCACCAGGCTGTTTAGTGACCCAACAAGCCAACATGGATTACTCTAACTGGACTTTGACTACAGTAGGTCAAAAGCCCTATCGCATAATGACGTCACATCATATTTGGACCTACTACCATTCTCTCTGAAAGTAGAACTTCAATGCTATTTAGTTTTGATATACACCATGTATCAATGTCTTCTTTTAGCCGTGTTTATATATTCTTTGATATGACACCGCCATGCTGTTCCCCTATGCTGGCGACCATTCCGCCATATCGTTAAAAAAATAAAATGTTTTGGTGTGACGTAATTATGCGACAGGGCAATTTACCTCACCTCGACAACAGCCGATAAGCTGAATTTCGAATTGAAACTTATTCGGCTACTAGTTCTAGTTTTTATAAAACATCAGCCATGCTTATCAACTCCCATGATACACTTAACCGTCAAAGCAATGATGACGTCATAAGAGTAAAGATCTAGTCTGCTAGTCAAATATCATACCTGGAATATAGGTAACGTATTAAATTTCCAGGAGCATCCTTCTCGTGGATCTGTGCATCCTACGATCATTAACAAAAAACAATAAACTGTTCAGTGGACGCTAACAATGCACCGTCCTGCATCATATTATGACTTCTCAGTCTGAGAACATGACGACGAATTATCTTATAAATCAGCAGATACTGATGCCCTTCAATGAAGATTGTTTTCAGGCTTCCCGTCCCTCAAAAATGATATACGATCATTAACAAAAAACAATAAACTGTTCAGTGGATGCTAACAATGCACCGTCCTGCATCATATTATGACTTCTCAGACTGAGAACATCACGACGAATTATCTTATAAATCAGCAGATACTGATGCCCTTCAATGAAGATTGTTTTCAGGCTTCCCGTCCCTCCAAAATGATAAGAGCTGGGGAGACGAGGAACGCAAACAAAATGAAAAGCTGCTCATCATTAACTCTACAATGTGGTTGAGACCTGATCATTGGCAGAAAAGGCACAATATAAAGGTAATCTAGCATGAACCAACCTTTTTCTCTGATAGAAATTCTTCAATAAAATKAAAACATTTATGATGAATTATGTAGAAGCAGGGACACTGAAAAGTAAAGTAGGGATATTAGCTATTTAAAACAACTTTAGAAAATTTAGCTATAGTATGGTTAAAACTTTAATTATATCTACATAAATGAATTAAAAACATTGAGCTTATTTACGGATACAGGATATGAGCAAGGTCCAATTAAAAAAGCTGTCCACGTTTTTAGTTAAACTAATTTAATTTTGTATACACATTTTAGAAGAAAAGTACGAGTATAAACGATGTTTATTTTGAAAGTGTCGTCAAATAAATAACGTCGTGTATCTTATCTTGATATTCGCACAACGTTAGATATCATCTTTTACATTCGGTTGAGTTTGATTTTCAGTCACGTAGAAGGTAGAAGACCAGTAAGCTTAAACATAAGAAGCAAGTTCGATAATCAATTCTTGACTATTTGTGGAAATAGTTGTGGCAACACCTGAACACAATTAGCTCAGATAGCTTCTTGTCTAATAAGAGGAAAGTCTCAGAAAACCTTGCACCTTGCACCATGGGTTGGGTAATGTTTTCTTTTCGATAAGGGTGTATTCTGCCGTTTGGACGGAACATTCTCGAAAGCCTTGTGACAAAAATACAATGTACATAACAGGACTACAGTAAGCGCGTTCAAAGTGACAAAAATAAATGCGCGCGAGTCGATACTGGAAAAATCGACCAAACTATCATAAACATAGGATACAGAAAAGAGAACCCATTCGTACGAATGCTTGCGTTCGACATGCAAGGTTAGAAGGGCTTGTTATGTTAGAAAAGTGGTATTATAGACCAAAAATTACAGAGCAGAGCATAATGGTCAATATCGAAAATATAAWATTGACCAGWGAAAACTAAGTCTTTAATWATTCCCTTATCACTTATAATATGCCGAAACACCGAAGAAAAGACTGCCAGTAACCGACAAAAATTACRTGTAGAGCCATTACCTGGCGTCTACAGCCTTTTGATCATGGTCAAACATGGTGGTAGGGTTTAGTCAGATAGTACTGGACCACMTTGTACAGCATTCTTGCTGAGATACATGCGCACAAAATAAAAGATACTTACAGCCCACCTGGAGTCTGTTGAATCTGAWGATGGTTTTTCGAGAAAGGATGTGACTTGATGGTCTTGATTTAATTCTAGTATKCCAAATTTTGATGTTTCTAAACACAAAAACAATAGTCTATGTGTAATTAAATTAATGTTAGAAAGGGTCCTTGTATAACAAAAAATTGTGACTTCGATGTCACATGACACTATGACATCATTACATTACATTTGAAATGCAAAAGACTGATCGAGAAGGGAAAAACTACTTGCAAATAATAAAGTAATCACTACATTCAGGCGAATTTTTAGTAATTGGCCAAATTAAAAGTGCCAAATTAAAAAAATTAAGAAGTATTCAGCACCCTTTGTATAGAAAGGGAGAAAGGCTATTGTGACTGGTCGGTTGAATGTGATATAAATTTTATAATTATACCATTGTCCTTGCATCTGTAACATAGCACTTGAGTTCCTGGGTTCACTTTGGTGTTCAATTGAAATTGTCCAAGTACACTTTGAAGACTAAAATCTTCAAAGAAAAGTGTATCGCTGAAAAATACAAGTTAATTAAATTCAACTAATAATATGTGTATTACCGTATAAATGTAATAGTGTCTTAAGCTCAATCAATCAATCAATCAATCAATCTGTCAATCAATGAATCAATCAATGAATCAATCAATGAATCAATCAATCATGCAATTAATCAATCTATCAATCAATTGATAAGTATTATTAATTTCTTATCGAAAATCCAAATGAAGACAAATGAACCAGGCTTTTGTTGTTGTTTTTTTAATTAAGTTTTACACAAAATAAATATTGCTGTAATATTGTCAGGATGTATGTAATATAGTTGCAATAAAATAATGATTCACATTATTGTATTTTACATACCCTCCAATAATGATAAGATCATTGTTTGTATCTACAATTTCATCTATACACAGCTGTATGCATTTGATAGCCCCGAGTCTACCCTATTGAAAATAGATGAAAAATATATTAGCTGATGCGGGATTCCTGTTTCATAGTTATAAAGGAATCCCAAAAGGTCAGCAAAGATAGCATATAGTATTAGAAATACTAAAAAATGTGGCTAAAATGTTGCCACAGGTTCAACTTTTTTACATTGCTCTCCCCCAATATTTTCTTTTATTGATTAAGTAAAAGTTGAATGATGGGCACACCCCATGAGGCATGTGCTACAGAAACTGGGTACAAGTCGAAAAAATAGCATCTTAGTTGGGCTTAGATATAACCATGAGTCACCAATTTTCTACTTGATAATGTTTTGTACTGCCTAATATGAAAATATGAATAGTTCACTTACTTCATTTGTAGTTGTCCCATCATTTATAAGTTTTACACTTGGCCACTGAAGGGACCATTCCTTGAATTTCTCATAATGAAGAGAATTGGTCTTTGAATAGAATGTTTAAAAATTAATTATACATTTCCAGTTATTTCTTTACTGTATATTTGCATATTTGATTAAAAGTGAATACCAGTTGCCGTAGAGCAATCAACATTCTATCATTTTTCTTTCTATAAATTTTCCACTCTCATTTCATATGAATTCACAGTTCGCTAATTCTTTCTGGACCAAAATTAATAATGCGTTAATGTAAAATTTGATTCTTTTAAGTAACTAAACAAATATAGTTATCTAATTATTGGCAAAAGCACATTAGACTATCAATGACTTAAATCAACCACCTACCACTACGTACACCTCAGCAATGGAATGTTCCCTTTCAAGACATTCCATCCATCGAGATATCAAAGCTTTCTCCCCTACAGGAAGCAATGGCTTTGGAACACCAATAAGATGTTCATATTTTCCACTTTTGTCGGCTTTTAAATCTCGTTCTAATCTCGTACCATAGCCGGCCGCTAAAATCAGGGCTTTCATCGTAAAAAACTCTCATTATAAACAAGTGAGGGATCATGGGTAAAATAAGCCGTACTTAGGGAKGGGAGGGTGACGAGGATTTGTTTTCCAAGATGGAGCCCGTTCCACAGAGAGATCCAGACGAAGAATCGCTAACTGCGAATGAAGATGATCAGCCAGCCACAGGTAACAGTCTCAGTGAATTATTGATTTAATGTGTAATAATATTCAATCCAATTTCAGTTAAACTTTAAAGTTTAAACTTATTTTGTCTTTTCATCAAATCTGCTGATCAGCCGACAAAATCAATAGTGCAGCGGATATTTTGCCGGGATATTTTGACCAAAGTCGATAGATGTTAGCATTTGATTAACTATGTAAAGAGCTTATTTGCAGATATTATGCATTTTACAGTATARCAAATGTCTACTGATGGATAATCTAAACTTGCAAGACTTATAACAGTATCTTTAGAAAGTGATAGTGCTGATATTTAAGCTTACAAACTGATATAGATTCAAATCTTACGTAACTTATATTTATAGATACAACATGAATGTCTGATTATGGATATAGTTATAATCTAGCTTTCTTGAACCTAACTTCATAAGTATTTGCCTAARTTACTGTATGTTGAGTTCCCAGACCTCATCTTGTCTTATCATCATTTAATCTTCATCATTTCATAAGTCATCAAA